AAAGTGGGTGAAAATTTGCATACAAATTACACTTTCAGCAAAAAACAAATAAAATTGTTGTCTATTTCATGCACAGCATATTTATTTATTCGCACCATATTGATATTTCAGCAAAAATTGCAATTATTGGCATTTCTTAAATAAATATTTGCGTAATGCATCTGTTGCAATATTAACGATTTTGCAAACATAAATTGATTTTCCGGACGAGTGCAGAAGTGTTGTTTATAATTCGTATCAGGAATGATATTAGTTTTTTTTAATACATGTGCTTCAATTAATTAATTTAGTAAACGAAAAAATTGTTGTTATTAATAGATGCGTAGGAGGTAATTAGAGCAAATGTAATTTTATACATTAAACCGGCAAATTTATAAAATTAGTCTTGCATTGTAATTATCTAATCGATTTTAATTACTTAATTATCAAACTTCGTACGGTCTCAGGATCGGCGTGGGGCGTCACGGTGACTTCGGGTTCCATTTTCTTTAATGGGATATCTAGTAATAGAATAGATACATTAAATTTACTAATAACGTAATTATCGTTGACGTTTCGATCGACTTTCCGTGTAACGGGATTTTCGATTTCAGTCGGGAATGCTATTAGTTGGGATCGAAGGGTTTTCCCATTAAACTAATAAAATTGAATTATCTATTCCATTAAAATTGGACATATTATCTTATCTCGTTAGATATTCCCTTTCTACTAACTTGTCGTTTAAGACAATTTGTTTTCTGTCTTTGTGTGCTATTAAAACGCAATTAAATGCCTTTAAAAAATATATTTAGAGATATTACTGATGATATATTACATGTACATCCAAATGCATTGTGGTTAGGAGACATCTGCTGCAACACATACAAATAGATCATGGCGAAGAACTTGGGTTCAGTAATTCCATAGCACTTTTAGATTAAATTGCGTTTTCTCTGTATAAACTCGTGTAGTAGTTCTGCGCATCGCCAAGTAGTATTTCAGAGAGCACTTTACAAGGCGCCAAACCGATGCCCGCAAACCCGCAAGCGACCCAAAATGTAAATGACATGTAACATGGCGAGCATGCCGTCGCATCGACGATAATTTGTCGACGACAAAGGCGGCTGGAAGTAAATCATTCCCAATAACAAATGTGTTACTACTTCTCACTCATGAGTTCACTACTAGAGGCTCTAAATGGTCCTAAGTGTCCCTAATTGGTTGATATTAATAATCCCGACCACTATCAAATCAATAACAAAATTTTGTTATCATAGGTGGTAAGCTTTATGATTCTCGGCTATGGCAACACGCCGTCTATCTATCTCGGTTCTTTCTTTCTGCGGCAAAGGTTGTCCTTGGAAGTGCTACTACCCTGCCGGTCTTGTTTGGTGGTGCAAGTGTCTAATGTAATTTCCTCGGGACGTGCTCACGTCCGCTTCCTTCGCGCCGCGTCCGCCGATCCGCTCCTCTGCGCGCACGTCCGTGCTGCTTTTCTCGGCCCGGCTGCGCCGCTCACGGCCCTCAAAGAAAACCGCCACGCCGCCAAGATCAACTATATTACATCTTTAAAAGGGGCGACGCACAACTTTACAATTATTAGTTGGAAACGGCGGCTGAGCACCACTCAAATGCTCGTTTGGCGATACGTGCGTCCTTAGACCACTTCGCAAAGCAAATGCAGGCTAACCGGACGGGGTGCATACGCTTTCAAAGTGCTTTGAAGTGTCCGGTGGTGATTTTGGAATAGGAATGCTCAAACGCTGACGGCGAACTGTAATTAAGTGTTCTAATGGTCCTTTACTGGAAGTCCAGTGACATTGACAAGCGTTTAAATAACTGTCCTTTTTAAAAAATTACTGATTAATCAATATTTTCGTCACGGTATTCCCGTGCAGCAACCTGCTATAATTAGACGTGATGTTGTTTGATAATAATTATAAAATTAAATAGCTTTGCGAGGCGCGAGTTGTACGTCCGGGATGACTTTTAATTAGTGAGATGTCTTAATGAAAACAGGAAAGGTCTATAATTAGCTCATTCTGCATCATTCTCGCGTCCTTTTGGCGCCTCCACCAATGGTTTATTCAGTTTATTCACTTTGATGAAGTTTTAAACACAACGAATGTAATTAACATGCAAATATGATACGAAATTAATTCCTGCAATAAAAAATAAACTGGTGGTTCTGTGTAAAATATATTTTTAATTAAAAAAAACATAGCATTGACCTCGTCATATTTTATTTTGTTCGGTTAATATTTTTTAATTTCCTACCCGCCAAGCTAGGTATTACCTTAAGTGCGGCTTGATGAATGTGCCACTATTTGTCTTCGCATGGCCGATGTAGTTTTTGCATGCAATTCACGCCGAAAACGATTTATCAAATTCGATTGCATTCGCAACGCGCGCGCATAGATCCCAGGCAAGGCTCTGCCTTTGCGATTCGAAAGGCGCAAAGATGACCTAGTGCGATCAAGAAAGTCAAGCGACGGTCCGCGGTTCTCGATTGTGCTCTCTCGCCGCAACTTCGGGCCTCATTATTCCCCAACGGCCCCAAACGCACGGATCACACACACCCAGGCGTGATCTTGAGGTTAAACGAAATTAATCTTCATATCTCATGTCGGCTTTAATCGACACACACGCATGCGAACCCGAAAACAAAGTCGCGCGTAATTTATGGGCCAATAATGTGCGCATTTGTGTTTGAGAGTCTATAGAGAGTACACCGTGCGTGGCACTAATAATATATTGGGAAAAATTCGATTTTGATTTGCACGACGCGAGAATAATCCGACGGACAATTTTATTATTGTGCCGGGATTGAAATATAAATCAGCGTGTTTCAATTTGCTCTGATTTTAAAGCGATTTTTCATGTGGAAGCTATTGACGCAATTTGGCATTTAACTTTTGAAATATGCATTTTATATCGGAACATATCATTGCGGCATTGATGTATGTGTTAATCAATATGCAAAAAGAGTAAATTGCTTGCGCTGTATTAATACTTAATATTTAGTTACGTTGGAAATAACAGGCCGTCGTGCTTAGTAATTTCCAACACCAAGTACCTACTTGAAATAGAAAATATGCAATAAACATAAACATTTTACACTTGAATAAAATACAATACAATATTAAATCCTACTTCTCTATAACTTACTTAAGATAATGATAAGGAATAACGCAAAATGAAACAGTAAACTTCAACAATAGATATAAGTTTGATTTAACCTTTGAAGTCGTATGTAGTTGAAAGTACCGGTGATGCTGACAATGCCGTCGCCATAAATAGACAAGTCTGAAGTGCATTAAGTTTAATGAAACTATCGCACTCGAAACTCGCCGCCTTTTGTGATTCTCGCGCAGTACACGCGCGCGCCTCCACCTTTTATTTCCTGCCATTTGCTGCCACTGGCTATACACTCAGACGTCAGTCTGTCTATTGGCGCACGCTGGTGTCTTTGCGGAAAAGCACAGATAGAAAAGATCGACACCGAGATTTATATCAAAATCACGCTTGACCTGCGCCAAGACCTGCGCTAAAGTGCGTTCATTGCTCCATTGGTGGATTGGATCACAGATTCTACGACGGGGAAATGTTCCACAATGAGCGTAAACGAAGTACGAAGTTACGAAGCACATACACTCTAGGTGTACGGGCGTGTACGGAGTTTCAAGTTGCTTATCACCAGACAGACGAGCTACTCACACTTGTGTTTAGCTTGACGTGAATGTGGACAGACCATCGGCATCGGCTTCGCCTCGAGAGACGAAAGCTATGCGCCATGTGTCTGCGAAAACCGTTCGGATTCGACGAGGCACATCGAGACGTGGTTAGTTATTGCAAATAATAAATATAATTTGTTCGTGCGAGCAGTTTAACACTGTCAATATTATCTTAATGAATACTCCGCTGAGAGTAATAATACGTGAGCCTGGTGTAATTTTCCACGTGTAGTTTGAAATGTGATGTAAGAAACTATTTTTGTAGGTATTCAAATATTATTAATAATGTTTACGTAAACTAGGAGAGCTTAAAAATAAATTGTGTTTTTGTTCCGGATTATAAGCATTCTAAGCATCAGTTTTGCCATTTACTGGATGAAAAAAAGATCATTATTAGACATTTTCTACTATGCTGCACAGTTGAGTGTTTGCAGGAACGGAAGGACGAACGCTGCTTCTCGCAGCTTGAGAATGATGATGCTTTCCTTTCCATAACCCGTAGAGATATAATAATACTCCACCTTATTATATACGTTCATAGATATGAAGTGGATTTTGAGAAAGTCGCCCTGCCTGCGTGCATTAGTACATTAGCAGCTGAGCGAGACAACGTAATCAAGCTCTGGTCTTCTGGGCACGTTGATTAAGTTTTTTTCTCAGCGAACCGTGCAGTGGAAGCCGTAAAAAGGCGGAAAATATGGAAAAACGTTTTTGCAACATGTGTATACTAACATTATTTTTTTAATAAACACAACAGGAATAATTTTATAGAATTAATATTTCTTTGGTGTTTATGTTGTGGGAATAAAATAATATCTAATTGTTTGAAACAATTAATTGTTCAAATATCATTAATACTTTATCAATTAACCGCTTGAATAAATTGCTGAACATTAAACGAGCATTGACCACTCGAATGAAATTCATTTTAGAATACAATTTGACATTTACAATTTTATTTTTCGCATTGCAAATTGCATTAATGTCAATCACGTCGCTCGATGAGTTTGATGGAACTCGTCCGTTCTATCAGTCAATGTGGCGTATCACTAATCCAGTACATGCCACCATGATGATTGCTATTTTCATGCTGCACTAATTCAGCAGTTAGATTGATTTGCAATTACATTTTAATAATAGACTATATGATCGATGCATCAGTGATAAATGAATCCTTGCAAATAATTTGATATATTTTTACAAATCGTCATTACATTATTGCTATTGTTTTCACTAATAAAAAGTTGATGTAATAATTGTTTATTAAAATAAATAATTTTGTTGCAGCAACTTTGGCTGAACATCAAGGAATGGCATCGCCTGCAAATTTAATTAAGGTAAGATTAATTCTTATGTAATTAAAATATCTAACAGTAAACTTTATCGGAAAAAATGCGCATTATTAATCCTTCGAACATTTTTTCAACGCTTTTCTTGTCTCTAGAGTCTCTAGAGTTTCCGCTCTTGGTGCGGGTAAAGTTTCATCTGCAACTTTTGGTGGAAACCCTAGAAAACTTCGGTGCAATGTCGGCGTAGCTCTCGATTTTAATCAGTTCCGGCGCGTTTTTCTACAAATTGCATTCATTACGGGAACGACCACCGCAATGACTCTTTTAATTCGTATAACGACGCGGTTTGTGACCACACGGCGTCGTTACGTCGCGCCCGATTTTTATCCGACCTGTTGTTGCCAGTTGGAAATTTTAGCGCCATCGCCTCTACCGTTGCGAGCTTAATCGCATTTTTACCCATTTGTTCCCATTGTATTTGCATCTACCGTTTTTTTGCGTTCTTAATGAAGTCCTCGCGGAAAAATAGTTCTGATAAGATTGCAAAGCTAAATACACGTGACGCCATTATTCTATTAATTGCACTGCCTTAACTGTGTATATTTAACAGAGTTATTTAAAAATCCTTTTAATTACACACATTGTTTACATTGAAATGCAAGTTATGACTAAACAACTATTTTTAGTATGTATAACTTTTAGGACTAATTGTATTTTGGTAAACGTTTCCGTAAACATGAAGTTTTTATTCAATCTGAAACAATTTATGATATTTTAAACAATCGATACGATTCTCTATTTAAAAGTAAAGTGTAAGCCGCAATCGGTTGACTTCTTGCTTTCGTTTCCTGCACTCGGTGATAACTTCACCCGCGCGCCTACAAAAACACCTATAAATAAGACGTTTAAGTAGAAAGTGCATGAAAAAGAATCCTGGAATGAGATTCGAGCTAATTTAAGACTTCGATCCATGGCCAAGAAAAACACGTGGTTACATTGTCGTACACATTTACGTTTTCACCATTTCGACTCGGTTGAATAAGAAAACATTTCAAAATTGTTTTTTGTACAAACTGCATAAAATTAAAAATAACGTAGTACATTTTAATTGGTGCTCGTAAACATTCACAAAATATATTTTCCCCAATATTACCAAACAAACGTTTTAATATTAGTTTTAATTGTTCGCACTCAGTAATATAAAAAAAAACAGTATGCACTTTGAGAGCCGCAATTATTAAATAATATTAAATTTCATGCTTTTATCAATAAACTTTTAACAATTTTGTTATTTTATTGCCATCGTTATTACAAAACGTGCTTTATCATTGTGTAAGTATAAAAAAATGACTCTTTAAATTTTAGTAGTAGATACCAGGGTGTATATGTGCCATTATGCGAATGTAAATAGGTACTTACCTAAATGTTTTTTATGAGTAATTACAAAATGTAATTATTGAGAAATGGCTTCTCATACCGCGGGCCGCGGGTGTTGTTAATTTTTGCGAATAACGTTCCATCCTTACTCACGATAACACATGCGTTACCAATTTCGCGAATAACGGTTCTTTGAATTTTCCGCCGGCTGTCGCGCCGCATAATTACAATGCGCATGTATAATGCCGCCTGCACAAAAGTATTTCCTTATTCAAAGATAAATCCATCACGTTAGTTAAGTGCGAGTACTTCGAGTAAGTCTCAACTCGGATATTGGCACTTGCACAAATAGTAAAATTGACTTCACGCGCTCGCAACCACATTGAAAAAAATATGCAGGGGAATGTGAGTTTGCGTTTGATTATAATTTATGATTCATTTGCATAATTCAGTCGTGAACGTTAATTTATTACACACGGCAAATGAGCAAGAAGGCGATAACATTTTTCCGCCAAACATAAATTAGTTTTAATTAAAAGTTTGCTGCGTTCGGCGTTGAGTGGAGTGGAGCAATGTCGAGATTCATGAGTTTGGCAATTACCGGAGCCATGGCTGCAAATTTAATGTTAGTTTTGTTTTCGCGCAACAAGTCTTAGTTGACAGATATAATCTAAGAATGCGTAATGGTAAAATTTAGATTAAAACTTAATTTTTCATAAATTTGATTAATCAAGCGAAGTACTCCCAAAAATTAACAATTAAGAAATAAGTAACTAATTTTTTAGGTGCAAGTTAAATTATTGCCTTTGAGAAAAATAAATGGAATCCTTAATTTGGATAAAATTGTAAGATAATAAAGGTGGCTCAACATTATAATTCAATTTAATTCAAGCATGGTGCGCTAATAAATCTCCAAATCCGGTAAGATCGGCGAAGATCAGTAATAGTGCTAAAGCCTCGATACCAAGACAAATGGAAATCGCTAACATTCGTTTTGGAATTCACGCGCACAGTATAATTTCCGTGTGCTTCTTTTCGGCGGGACGCTTTTCCAACCGCTCGCTCGCGTTTTCTTTATTGCTTTTTCACGACTATTTTAATTTGAATATAAAAATCGCTGCCGTAAATTTCCGGAAACCACTAATTTTTATTGCGCGTTTACGTGTGCCGAATGTGAAAATGGCCTCCGCTTGCGCAAGGTTAGAAAATCCTTTACTCATGCAACGCGCTGCGCCAGTTTTATCGTGGGTAAGGTCGGATTGCATGAGCTTGTGATATATGCTGCAATGGTAAACACCGCCGGAGGAAATTTGATACAGAGAGTCTAAAATAAAGAAGTTAATAATAGTTAATAAATTAGTATGATAGAATATATTTGATCAATAATAACGTTGAGCAATCACTTGATTAGCTGCTAGGGACAATATTTACTTAACAAACTATCGAATCCAGCTAAAATGTGAATTTTCGATGCTTGTACTGCGATAATTTGATTGATTACCACATCGCAATTACATCCCCAAACTGCAGTGAACACTCAACTGGATTAAAAACATAAATTATATCATCTTTCGTGTTAGCACAACATTACACCGGTCAGGAATATTCGAGAAACTTGATGATGATGATGATTGAGAGTATAAAACCATAGGCAACCTATACACCATCGATAAGCGCATCGTTGCGCGCCTGCGTGTTGGTATAACGCGCTTGCTATAAGTCGCCTTAGCGCGCAAAACGTGCGAGGTGCGTTCAGTCAGTTCATGCTTCGGCTTGGCGCTGTGCGGACGTGTTTTTAAGTCACCCGAGTTAATTCCGGATCACACGTGCGATCACATTCGGTTCGCGAATTGTTCAGTCGTTTTCGGGTTTTCTCTTATCAAATAACCGGCGCTAGTAATTAATTAGACGCTAGAAACTATGAAACACCATCGTGAGGTAATATACCGGTTGCTTCCCAGTTGAAATATTAAGAGTAAAACGCGTCGAAGTAAAAATATTTCAGCGATATCAGGCTGTGATTGTGAAGATAACAAACAATAACAACAAACTGGTTCGCGTTCGCTTGCGCTATCACCTGTGACATTGCTTCAAAGTCAACATGGAATTGCGACTTCTTCTCGTTGTTGTCGCCTCGTTGCCGATAATAACAGGTGAGTGCCGCACGCGGAACCGACAGAATGCAAATTTATAGTCAATAATTTGTTAAGTCATAATGCGCTGTAATTCGCTCTGGCGCTCGTTGTTAATTGCGAGTTAAAAGTGCAAAGCGGGGCATTTTTTACGATTATGGTGTAATCGGAATGCGCGGTGCTGTATTCTATTCCCGAGTGTTGAGATGCAACTTGCACTTAAGTTTTTTATTCTTGAGCCTACGTGCGCATACAGCAGCAAAGCAAGCAGTTCAAAGTTCGTTTTTATTTCATGGCGGCGTTTTGATGATTCACACTGTTTATAAATACCTACATTTGTTCAGTGACACGTTAAATTTACGAGGTATTGTTTTGTTTTATCATAATTACTTTGTAATTTATTCATTTCTGGAAATAGATCGGTGTGCAGTTTTAATATATCATATGTTACGTTCTTAGGAATTATGCGCAAACCAATTAATACAGCAAACGATGCAGTTTAACGTTATATTACATAATAGTCCATAAAATATTATAATTTTTGAAAATGCATGTGATGCTACCATGTTTTATGTGTAATGAGGAAATTAACACACCCGGCAGGCATTATCACAGCCAAAATATGACTGTATAATTCGCCGCGACACATTTATTGATTTAACTGAACCCAAAATGACTATTAATTAAAACAAAACAAAGCAACTAAACTGATTGAAATATTAATTAACGTCGCATAATTATTATCCGTTTGGCGCATAATGGACTATAGAATTATCACAAAACGAGTTATTAGCTGTTAGTGTTATGGTTTTATTTGTTATTGTACTCAGTCACTGAATGTGAATGTTGACGCCATCCTAGAATAGCGAGTTTTCCAAACCGTTCAAAAAATAGGTAGTAAAATTTTACACAAACTGGAATCTCAGGAATGTGGAGATAACGTAAGCAGAAAAAATAACAATATTACGGAGAAACATGTACAATCTCGACTTTGTAATTATTTTGCAATGGAGCACTATAGTTCTCTACTTTTATATTTACCGTTTGATAAGAAATTTTATTACGATAACATTTTTTACAGACCATTAATCGAAGTAATTGTTCACCTCGTGCGTAAGTTTCTCAGGTATTTGTCATTCTCAGCTCAAAAAAACTTGTACTCATTTATCTCAATGATTTCTTATTTTTTATTCCTGGTTTTGCAGCGAAGTCTATTTTTAGCGTGTTATATAGCAATGCTAATATTAATAAGCTTGAATAAACATGTTTGTGGTGTGTCTAGTTAGTAAAGAATTATCCCAGCTTCGCAAGCCGAAAGAGAGTAATTGACGGTCTTTAAAGCTAATTGTCGTAAATTTTAATGAATTAATTTGCGGGCGACTACAAAGGCATTCTACCCGTATATGGGATTCAACTCATTGAGCGGCGCGCGCGCGTGTAACGTGCATGACCTTTACCACGTTGATGCGTGTTCGCGAACGATATGTCATCTGTCACGCGCCATGTGCGAGAATCGGTTATAAATATGGAGCATATTTA